TATATAAATAAATAATAGTATTAATTTGACAATGCAAATCAAAGGGAAAATGCCATAAACAATAATTGTAACTTTGGTAAACTTACGCAATCGTATAAATTCTATATAATGCATAAAGCAACATCTCTGGTCGATCGAACAAATGTGCTAAAACTAATTTAGTTTTTTTTCTTTTAATTATTGTTTTCACTAAATAACAGTTATTAGTTATATGTATATATATCTTTTGCCATATATATATAGATGTAGATGAGCTGCTATTTTTTTTACTTTTCTTATTGGATTTTTAAGCTCTGGGTTCAAAAAAGCCAGAGAAATACTATTCTCAAAAAATACATGATCTGCGCTTGAACGGTAAATCGTCTACAATATATATATTTATATATGTATTTCTATGTGCTTGGAAGTACAGTGTGTGTGTTTGTATTTGTAACTGTGGCAGCTGCTAATAAAAAGTATAAAAGGAACGCATAACAAATAAAAAAATTAAATACAAATAAAAAATAGAGTAAATATGCACACTGAGAGAAAAGCAACAGCCTTTCATCTAGCAAATTTTTTGAAACATTGTCTCAGTCTCTACTCTGTTTTTGTTTGCTTAGGAATTTTCCACTAGCGCTGATAACAGCGTGCCGATAAGCACAGACGCAACTGTAAACGGTTAACGGTTTTAGGAGAACAAATTGTTGCGTCGCTTTAGCGAGCCGAATTTCTTTTCAGCCTCGAGCAGCATCTTCTCCTTACGCACCACCTCGAACGGTATCGTCTTGGACATGCGATCGATCTCCTGATCGGATGGAAAGTCCTCGAAGCTCATATTGCTGAAGCCCGTCTTGGCGGAGTTCTGAATGGTATTCGACTGAAAGTTGCTGCGATTCTCGTCCTGAGCCAAGCCGCCGACTACATTGACATCGTCATCGTCGTCATGGGATTGGTACTGGAGGCGATGATGCTTCTGTTTGCTGCCCGAGCTGAGGGATGAAGTGGAACCGAGGGCGCCAGCGCTCACCTTTTTATAGGCATGTCCCTTGACCTTTTGGGTGAGCTTGGCCGGCAGCGCTCTCACAGCCAAATGGGACTTTTCCTTCTTGGCTTTAACAGAGGAGGCCGTGGCTGAAGCCGTCGCAGTTGCTGCTGCTGCTGGCGCATCGTTGTCTGCCACCAGCTGGGCAGAGCGCAGCACCACGGGCTCCTCCTCATCGTCGGGTGTATAGTCCGAGCAGCGTTCTTGAGAGATTTGCACAAAACCATTATCGGCAATGGGCAGCAGTGGCTGCAAGTGTGGTGCGGGCTGTATTGGTGGTGCTGGTGGTATTGAAGCTGAAGCTGGAGCTGGAGCTGGAGCTGCAGCTGCAGCTGCAATGGCGATTGTGATTGCAGGCGGCTGGGCATGCTGTGTGCTAGGTACTGGAACTGGAGCTGGAGCTGGCAAGGAGCAGGAGCTGATGGCGTTCACATAGACACTGCAGGAGCTCTTGTTCGGTTGGTGGTTGGACAACGGTTCGGGCGTTTTATTAATTATTATCGAATGATTGATTGTGACAACCGGTGCAACAGCATTCATTTTAATCACATTGTTGTTGTTGTTATTGTTGTTGTGGTTGGGATAGTGGAGCTGGAGCGGATCGGGCGTAACGACAACACATTTGCGTATTACCTGTGGGAATGGCTCCGAGCCAAAGAGATCACGTTGCTCGCCATCATCCAGTGGCTGCTGCTGCTCCTTGTTAATGGACTGCTCGATAAATGGATTGAATATGGGCTCATTGAACTCATCGAGCTGCGGTTGCTGCAGCTGCTGCTGCTCCTGCTGCAGTTGCTCCTGCTGTGCTGGGAAATTGGCAAAGTTTGCCGCCTGACTGGTCGGCGTCTCGGGCGCACCCTTGACCGGCGTGGATGTCCACATTTCCGGTTCGCTGGGTCGCGGGCGCGGCTGTTTGGGTTTTGTTACACGCTTGAGCGGCTTGCCGACGGGCAGCTTGAAGGGCGCCATGGCAAACACGTCCAGCTCTTCAGGCTCAGCAGGTTCGTTGGCTGCAGGTGCTGAGGATTCGTTGCTGCTCTTGCTCTCCGCCGAACCATAGTCCAGCTCATCGTCCAGTAGCAGCGGACGATCGCCAAATTTGTGCAGCAAATCACTGGACGTGGGACTCAGCTCCTCGTTGCCGGCACCACTGCCCACGCAGCCCGTATTGGCGTCTCCGCTGGCCGCTGCCACTGCTGCGGAGCGATCCTTTTTGCGCATGCGCACCTTGACCACGACGCGACTGCGCACATCATCCTCGTGTGTGGTGACGCTCTCGCACTCCGCATGATAAGCCGAACTGCTGCAGGTTTTGACGCTCTCGCTGATCCCGTCCATATCCAGGGGCACCACACGCCGTGGCTTGGCCTGGGTGGCGCGCGGATTCTCATCAAATAGATCATCATCCTCGGCACGCAAATCGCTGGCCGAGCCAATGGAATCGGCATCATCGTCCGATTCCCCATTGGCCGCCGCCGCTGCCGTTTGGGCCGCTTGCTGAGCTGCCTGGGCAGCCACGGCGGCGGCCATTAGGTTCAGCTGCTGGGCCGCCTGCTGTGCCGACGATGAGGGTCGCTTTGTGGTCGCCGTCTGGCGCAGTTTCTTCACAATGGGCAGGTGCGTTGTCTTGTCCACCTTCTGGTAGGCCACCTGTTGGATCTTGTGTATGGTCTCTGGTATGTTGTTCGTCACGATCTGCTTAAAGATGGCCGCCTTTTTGGCGCTGCCGCCGCCAACGACGACGCCGACGCCGATGCCGCCGCCGCCAGCATCGTCGCTGTCCTGCTGAAAGAACTCCGAGTCGGAGTCATCGGATGTGGGCTGATCGTTGCTGCGCAGCTTCTCATACTTGTTGCGATCCTCCAGCGGCAGCTTCACGAATCCCGTGCCCACAGAGCCGCTCTCACTCTGCAGCCCGAGGCCAGCGCCATCGGAGTCCGTTTTCAGACGACTTATCAGCGACGTTTTGTCCTCCTCTAGTGTCGGGGACAGCAGCCATTTGGATGAACTGGATGAGATGGCATTGCCTGCTGCTGGGATGCTGGGCGTGCCACCGCTGCCTGACGAGCAGCTCACAATGAATTTGGCTGTGAATGAGATCAAGTACTTTTATGCAGTTTATGAGTTTACGGACTAGTTCGAGTGCGACATGGCTGACAGTTGGACAGTTCTGTCCGGGATTAGGATTACACGATCATATGCTTATTATAAGTATGTATAATGCTATATAGACATTCTGTAGAGCTGTGTGTGAGTATCTATGAGCTGTGCATCTGTACATGTACATGTATGTGTGTGGGTTGGTTAGTTAAATATGACGTCCTTGATGCCATCCTGGGAGCTGTGAGTTAAACGATGATTTATGAATACAGTTCTTCAAGTGGGCTATGCACAGGACGATATAACTAATTTGACGGAAGATCAAAGATCTGGAATTCCATATCATAAAGGAGAATATCACTTATCTATGTAAGCTGTACTGCAGGCTGTGATGGGTTAGTTGGATCAAAGATCTGGACTTCAATTTACATAAAGGAACATATCTTTTGTCTATGCTAAACTGAATACTCTCATGCATATATAATTAACATTTCATTCAAATACTTGTTTCATATAGCTATAGATTATATATAGATATTTTTATTCTTTCTAACAGATAAGTTTTTGTCTGGAAGATTGTGTTAAAAGTTTAAGGAATCTATAGAAGGTTAACTAGTTAGATCTTGCATTTTATATCGATAAGATATAGAATATATATATATTCTATGTATCTGTATTCCATATCATATTGATTTAGTTAAAATTCAATAGAATATAATTATTTAATTTAATTATTGAAATATTTTTGAACAAATGTCTTGCTTTTTTCATTAGACAGTCTCTACTGTTTGCGTCCAAAAATATTGTTATTAAACTGAAATGCTTTCTTAAATTATAATAAACTTAAAATATTTTAGTTAATGATATCCTGTGCATAGCCGTTTGGTGTTAGTATAGTTATAGTTATTGATAAATCCCATTTTATTTCAAGTACAGTGAATGCTCGCAAAGGAAGTGAAAACTCGAAAGGAGAACTTTACAGTTAAATTCATTCTATTTCCATCAATTTAATACTATCGAGCATTCACTGTAGTGAACGCGGCTTAAGTTAAGCTAATTAAATTTGTTTTCATTTGATTTTTCTTTTGGTTTATTGCATTTGAAATCGTTTGTAACTTTTTGCTGCTTAACGCTTATACAATTTCTTCTTCATTCAACATTTGTTTATATATAAATATATATTTTGGTTTTTATATATTTGCGTGTGTATATAGATATATATATCTGTCAATTGTAAGTTGCATTTGCTGTTGCTAATTAGGTTTATGTTTCTATCTTTACCTGACTTTTTGTGTTGCTTTTCATTGCGCTTCATATTTGTTCATCATTTATATATATATATACATATAGTATGTACACATATATATGGTTCTTTGATTTTTAAAACTAGATGTTTACTCTTTGGAATAATACTTTAAGTTCGAATAGTTTAGTTTTCTTTTTGTTTTGTTTAATAATTTTATATACAAGTATTAACAGGTTGCATTTGAACATCTAATTGAACAATATTTTTATTTTGTGATCGCTTTTTTCCAGGAACGAATGATCTCTCTTTGCCTCTTGGACATTATGCAAATATATATAGATATATATTGTCTAGCATTGATTGGACATTTGTTTAATTATATTATTAACAATTTTGTTGCATTGCATCTCATTTGCTTAATTGCCGCCACATCCGCAACGAACGCAGTTTAACGCGAACTTTGCAAAGTTGGGAAAGCATAAAATAAAAATTGTTATGAAATTAATTAAAGTAAATTTTTTAATTTGCCTAATTTATAATCTTTAGTAATTTAGCATAAAATGTTTAGAATTGCACGACTTGAATATATATTTTAATTAGCTTAATAAATGGTTGTCGAATTTGATGATATGCAGCAAATTATTGCTTTAAAACACATTTTCATAATTTTTAAGTTTTGTTTTAATCATATTTTGATATATTGTTTAGCCTTAATTTAGTTTACAGAAAAACACACAGAAGTAGAGCGCATGGTAACGTACAATCAAGTTGACCCAAAAAGACTGAAGTATATGTCGAAAGGCAATAGTAAAATCCAAAGAAAATTATGAAAAAGCTGCAATTAGTTCTTTGAGCTGTTGCCATAACAGTTTTTGTTTTACATTTGCTGTTATGTTATGTGTAAGAGGTCTCTGATTAATGTAAACATACCAAATTTCTGTTATGTTTACATAACAGCCCTGACACTGTTCAAGGTTTTAAGAACCATTTTATCTGTAATTGGGCTGTTACTAACTTACTTAGCATAACATTTGCTGTCATGTAATTTGCTGTACTGTTATTATGTGAGACACCACTAACAATACAACACAGAGAACACACTTTTTGTATGGGTAGTGGCTTAACACTTGTCTGCACTGTTAACATTTACATTTACATTAACATTTACTCTGTTTAGCTGCCTTTTGACATATACATACATAGTCCAAATGTTAAAATACATAATTATAATTGAAATTTTTGAATATTGTTTTTGGTTAAACGAAACCACAACCACTAATTACAGTTACTGTTAAAATTACTGTTACTGTTACAGTTACTGCTACGGTTACTGTTACTAAGTTAATAATTGTTTCTCTAGCATAGAACCAGCACCAAATATTTGTTTTTGTTAGAAGCGCTTAGATTGGAGTTGAAGTTAAGATTAAAGTTATAGTTAAAGACAAAGTGGTTGATCAACTCGGCTTTGTCTGTTTGTCAAATTAATGTTGCAACATACTAGAAAATATATATTGTATATTTGTATGTATAATAGAGTATACTATATACAACAAATGTGCCAAACTGTTGTTGGTTAGTAATTGTGCATTTCGAATATTTACAAACAAAATATTGATATACATATGTGAATATATGTATATATAGATTTTATAGAATAGTTTTAAGTAAGCTTTGACAGTAGATTTGTCGCAACATGAGGATCGTCGGTCGATCTATGGCACTCCGAAGCAAAATACTACTTCCCCACTTCTCTCACACACCTACACCCACTCTCATTCTCTCTCTCTCTCTCTCGCTCTCTCTCTCTTTCTCTCTGTCTCAAACCAATCGCTCACTTTCTGTTTGTCTGTTCTATGAGGATTTCTTTCTCTCTCATGAGAATCCTCTCTTTTTTCTTTTTTACTGGACGTCTGTTGTTGTAGTTGTTGTCGATGTTGCTGCTGTTGTTGCTGTTGCTTTGGCTGCTGTTGTTGCTGCTGCTGCAGTTGTTGTAATTGTTGTTGTTGCTGTGGCTGTTGAAGCTGTTGTTGTTACTCTACTGTGGATGGGTATTTTAGACTACGTCTACGTTCAATTCATTTTCACTTTCTAGATCGAGAGAGATTGAGAGCAACAAAAGCAACAATCGAGAAACTAAACGTATTTCTGGCTTGGCAACAATAAGAATTTTACAAATTTCATGCTTTACCTCCAGTTTTGCGCAACGAGCTCGCCTTCTCGCGCAGACCGGGCGGCAAACTGAACGGCGCCGAGCCGAACGGATCCTCAGCCAGCGCAGTTGCCGGAGTGGGCGACACAGCCGCGCCCATTGGAGCCGGAGGAGGAGCTGTCAAGGCTGTCGTTGCCGTTACGTTTGCTCCAGCTGTTGGTGCAGAAGCCACATTTTGTTCCGTGGGCGTTAGCGTTGACGTTGTGGATGCAGATTTCGCTGTTATACCTGTGAGAGATGAAAGATCATGAGTTTCTGATTAATTGATTGAGTACCACATGAATTAAAAATCCGTTGAATTGGTTGATCGATTGCCTGATTGATTCATTACTAAGTCACTAAGTTACTTCAAAAATTTATTGATTGATTGATTAACTGACTGATTGACAAATTGATGCGACAAGTTGTTTATATAATGTTATAGGTTCAGGTCATTGTTTACTCACTGCCTTGGCTGCCCCGCTGTCTTATCTTATCGAACTCGACCTCAAATATGTGATCCTCGGTCATTTGGCTGAATGGCTGCTCCTCCTCGAACGGATTCCAGGCCTCCACACGCTTGTCCATGGTCTGGCGCGCCAGCTCGTTGCTGGACAGGGATGTGACCGTGGCACTGCTGCTGGCATAGATTCCCGGATTGGAGGCAGCGCTGGCCAACGACGCATTCGGCGGTCCATCTCCGCACATGGCAATGTTGTTGTTATACGGCGCCAGGAACTGGCTGGTCTCATTGGCAAAGGTTCTGCGACGGCGCAACAAAATAATGCAATTATGAGTGTACGGAAATGGAAATGAGCATCAGGTGACAGATGAGAGGGGAGGAAGAGATAGCGTATCAAATCAATTACTTGGATAGAGATTAGATTAAGAGATGCCCTCAATTTGCTACCATTTCAAGAGGGGTAACATAATTGTGAGCATTAGTGTGGGAAGATTAATTTTTTTTTTATAAAAACATTAAACAATTATTAAATTTCATGAATTAGTATAGTGTTATCAAAATGTAGTTAATTTATTTGTGAAATGAAAGGTATTTTAATAATTCGTTCCGATTTGAGTTCAGTCGAACTAAGAGCTTTTCAAAAAGTAATACGAGTCCTTTTCATTAAAAAAGAAATCAATTTTTAGAGGCATAGAGGCATTAACTTCAATTATTAGTCAAATTAAAGTAAATTTAGTTGGTGGTATAAGAACCTTTTTAAAGCTTTGTTAGCCTAATCGCTCTAAGAGATATATAGTAGGTCTCTTTGATAAATAAAGCGTATTTCGATATCTGTGTTGACTTCTAATAATTATTGATTTTTCCTATATACAACTGGATATATGACTATAGTCTCAAAAAATTGTTGTTTGTTTTCTTTTAATCACTTTAGTTAGGATCAAAAGTTTGTATGTGATCTAGATTAAGCATGCCTTTAGCTAAGCCACTAACAAGTTCTATATATAAAATGAACAGTCTTGGCCCTTGCTATATATGTATACGCATAACTGTATAATACATATATCGTTTTGCACATATTTGAAACCCATGTTTAAGGCTTGAATGTAAGGAGCAATAAAACACAAAAGTTATGGGGAAATAAATATTGTGAAATGTGTGTAATAAAATTTGTGCGTATTTTTCATGTGGAGCCAAGAGGGAGCACATGATATCTTATGTCTTTTTATTGACTTTGCGGCTGTTCATCGTCGTCATTTGTAGCTCTTGGGAGTGTAATGAGAAAACACAAGTAAAAACGTGGGCGTTGAGAGTGAAAGCAAGAGAAGAGCAGACACACACAAATAGAGATAACCAGATGTGGCTAATATTCATGTGGGACTTACTTATTGAAGGCCGAGGTGTCGCTGACATTCCTGCGATGTCCGGCGCCGCTCGTTTTGGGCGGTGTGAGCATGTGCTTGGTGGGTGTGCCGACACTGCCGGTCACGCCTAATTCATTGAGTGATGTCTCTGGCAATTCACTGGTGGCATCGTTGGCAACAACTGTTGCTGCTGCTGCTGTTGGGGCTGTTCCGGCAGCTGCAACAGGTGCAACTGCTATGGCTGCCTCATTGAAGGGATCCGGATAGACGCTCGACTCGAACAGGTTGTTCACAGCTGTGGGAGCCACTACACTTGCTGCTGCAGCTGCTGTTACCGGCACAGTTGGTGCTGGCGGTGGTGCAGTTGCTACTGGTGCTGTTGTGGGGGCTACTGCTGGCATTGCTGGAAAGTTTGCCTGGAATTGCTCGACTACGGCTTGTGGTTGCGGCGATGTTATATTCTGACGAGGCAGTGGACTGGGCGGTAGACCCAGACCCAATGCATTCTGGCCGTGCACTGAACTGGAGCCTTTTGGTCGCGAACGCGGCGCCACACTGGTGCCAGCTTCCACTATAGATACATTTTGTTGCGGCTTAGCTGCCTTGGCTGCAGCACTGATGCGCTTTGCCTCCGACTCAAACGGAGGCACCAACAGCTGGTCAAAATTGGGCATAGCGGATTTCTGCAAAGCAAAATACCATTAACATGATAATCCTCCTCTATTGGTAAAATTTAACTTACATGCAAATTCTGTACGGGATTATCTTTACCCGCCAGCCGGAATGCCACTTCGCACACCTGCCAAATGTTGGGACGTCGTTCCATGTCCGTATCGAGCATATACTTAATCAATTGATGTATGCCACGCGAGTATTTGGAGTTATCTGGTATGGCGAATTGTCCATTCTGTATGGCCAGCGTGCTCTCGCCAAAAGGCAGGGTAAAGAAGCATAGCTTGTAGAGCATACAGCCCAGAGCCCAAATATCCGCTTTAGTCGTAATACTCTTCCCACTGTAAAGATCAATCATTTCGGGTGCACGATACGACAGCGTTGTATACTTCTGTATCTCCTCCTCGACCACACTGACGCCATGCTGTTGAGGATTCAGAGTTTTAGCCGTGGCCGAGCCAAAGTCACAGAGTACGAAATTTCCAGCATCCGTTTGCAATATGTTCTCGACCTTCAGATCTCGATGAATAATGGGCGTTTGGCAGTAATGCAAACGTGAGACGGCCTCGGCAATATCACAGAAGATGGTTAACACTTCCTGCTCGGTGAAGCCAACGTGCAATCTACAATCAAAGAGATACTACATAAATACACGAATATTTTGCATTTACATAAATTAACCATACCTCGCATTCATCATGGCCAGCATGTGATGCTTGCAGTATGGCATCAGTAGCAGCACTTCGCACACTCCGTTTCCAGTTGACGTAATGCTCGAGTCCACATAACCGATGATATTTTTGTGTCCACTCAAATTGCTCTGCAATGGAATGAAACGGTTTAGCAAATGTTCATATATTTTATGTACTATCGCTTACGGCAATTTGTATCTCACGCTTGGCCACATTCAGATCGTGTTCATTGTTGACGTACATTCGTTTGAGTGCGTATTTGGTGGTTGATGCACTGCCTCCGCCATTGCCACGTGCCAGAAAGACCATGGCAAAGCCGCCTGCAATGAGGGAATACATTCGTTATTAGTCATCATTATAGATTTAAATCAATTGTAAAGTCTAGACTGTCTACAGCTGGCAAAAACCACATCAACTGAAGGCCAACAAGCCGCCAATATTTGTATACTATAACAATGAAGGGTATAATTCTTAAGTTGTTAGATTGGTCGAGAAAGGTTTTGAATTAAAACACAATAACAAAACTAAAATTTAGGTGCTAATGAAGCAAGAAGCGGATTGGTTGGAAATGTAATGATATCAATAACAGTGAGCTCAAGTTGATATGCCATGTTAATAATATTTGACATTAAATATCTACACCAATAACAGACAGCTTATAGAATTAGAAGCTATTTAGCTTTAAATATCAATAACAGTAAAATTAACACAATATGCTTTGTTGACAATAAATACATATACCAATGATAGGCAACTTATATGTACAACATTCCATGAATTGGATATGTTATTAGCATACGCCTTCATTTACTCACGTCTGTTAAGCGTTAGGACAGTTATCTTTTGTAACGTATTCAAAGTAATTTTACTTAATACTTATGAACGTGTATTCATTTGTATATTTCAAATTGAAATCAATCAAGCCTTATCTACTTCTGTCCTAGCTATGCCAGCTATATAGTGTATATAACTATTCTGGAATATTTCATTCAAACAAACAACAAACGGCGTTAATGTTATCGTACCTCTGGCTCTATACCCCCCAAACACAGCCCGACCGACCAAGTAGTTTCACCCTTCCTTACTCTGCTGCCACTCCAATGAATGATAAAAAGCGACGTAATATACATACTACATACATAATGGGTACATGTGTACATTTGTACAAAGCTACTGAAGGTCACGTAAAACAACAACAATAATAATAACAACAACAGTAGCAGCAACAATGACAAGAATAATAAAACATACACACATACAAATCATTTAGGGAACCCACAGACAACACAAATGCGACAAGCATGCGTGTTTGTACATATACATATATATATATATATATGTGTGTGTGATTGTAATTGTAACTGTAGCTGTGCTTGATTTGTGTTCGACTTTTTAGTTGGCGTTTGTGAAATTATAAAGTCAAATGTTAATCAATGCTGAAGGTTGGCAGCGCATGCATATCAAAAGCCAACAACAACAATGCACAGTTACAATTGTAATTTGTGGCGTTAATGAAAATTCGAATAAGAAACTGTCCAAAATAATGACTAAGAAAGATATCGGCAAGCAAGCGTGGCTAACTCCTTATGATTTGGCATTTGCTTGCGCACTTAGTCATGCAATGGGTTTTTGTTTCTTAACGTGCTGGCAACGCTGGTCAATTAACAGTCAAGTCAAACGACAGCAACAACAACAACAGCTGACGCCGACATTCTATAGTCAATAGCAATAACAGCATTGCCTGCCAAGTTGCAAAAATAGCCAAAAATGAAAATAAACCACAAATATATCAATAATTGTAGCCAAGTAAAAGGTGGAAGAACGGGCCTTACGCACACACACACACATATACAAATGAATACATATATACACAAGACCAATAGGACAATAATAAATGCAAATAATATGTTGAGCATCTGTTGAAAATAGTAGCTGCTATTTGCCAAGCACTCGACGATTGAGGGGGGCATTTTGCAGTGCAGGATATTATTCACTTCACTTCAAGGACATTGGCAATCTCTGCAACTTGCCTTGGGCTGTGGCAGTGTGTGCGGCTGGCCGGCGAAAGCTAAAAACATCTGTATTTATCAAAAGCAACCAACTTGTATAGCTAACTATAAGAAACTTAAAAAAAGTAAATTGACTTGATAATTTGATTTATTAAATAGTAAGAAGTTCAACTAAAATATCCAAAGAGCCAAACTAACAAAGCTCACAAATATTTCCCTTCTTTCACATCTCACATATTTCTAGCCATAAAAAGGCTAGAGCATCAGCATTGCGGTTGAACTCTGCCTTTTGCGGATGACAACTATTGCCAGAGCTTTGTTTGCAAGCGTAAGGAAAGAGAAATAGCAAAATATATAAAATGTTTGCTTTATTGGCTTGATTAATGTGTATAATTGATTGAATTTCTATTAATTTGTATAGTAGAAAACGGAATCGACAATTTCTTTGTGCCCAGTCGGGCAGCACGCGACAAGTGGCGCCGACAAATTGCCAAAGCGGGAGATGCAGCTGTTTACGCCCCACATTAAAAAAGTAAAACACATTAGCATACATATATATATATATACATATATGTATGTGTATATTTCACAATTTTTATCTAATCTGGCTAACACAATTTAAATCTGGTGGCAATGTCTTGTGGTGTAATGCTTTACGCACATACACACACACACACACTCGCATTCATAAAACATACATACATATTTAAATCTGATAAGCAGCTCACTTTCCCTCTCGCACTCGTACTCACCTTCGGCCAAGACATCCTCGACGGTGACCGTGACGCGTCCGACTGTGAAGACCTTGCCGACGAAACTGTTAGTCTCCTTGGATGAGGAGCTGTTGTGCGAGTTTTCCAATTTCTCATTTCTGTCGAACTTCGACAGGATTTTCTTCATTTTTATGTTCTATTTTAGTTGCTGTTGTTTACTGCAGCAGCAGCAGCGACGGCGCCGTCAACGTCGACGTCGGCAGGTGATTGTGTGTGTTTTAATTGCGTGGGCGTTCGACAACGATCGGCGTGTGTATCTTCCCGCTAGCCGTATAATTAACTCGACTTTTTCTAGTTTAATTAACTTTTATTGTTGCGTAGTTTTGTAATTTACGCTGCGCTTTTTCGCATTTGCATGGCAGCGATACACATGCAAGCACACATACACACACACAATAGCTCTCGCACACTTTACACACACAGGCACACGCACTCACACTATGGAAAAAGAAAGTTGTTCGATTTTCCTGATTTACACGTACAAATTTTACGGCAAGCTATTGCTTTACGAAATCAACGATATTTGGTATTATTACTATTTATTGAAGTTGCACATTATTGTTGGTCTATATAACTATTTACAATATTTGCAGCACACAAAAAAAGCGAACGAATTTTAGCTGCAATTAAATTGGATTTCACTAACTGTGCAAGGTTGCCAGCCGATAAAAAGAATTAGAGCTGTGCAATTGGTGTGCCAATCGGCACGCAATTTCCGTGCTTGCGTGAGTAGGTTTCAAGTAAAGCATTTACTTAAATATTGCATTTCTTAAAATTTTGTAAAAATTTAAATGTGCAAACATTTTTTTATTGTGTACGGTATGAACAATATTTAAGACATATAGAAAATTGCTAGTGTCATGCTGGCATTACACCTGCTGTTTGGCGTTGCCACATTGTTTGCATAACAGCTGTCTAATTTTTACAAAACAATTCTATGCGCAGTTGAAATTTGCGCGCAATGATTAATACAGCTAAATATTTTGCATTGCTGGAAAATTTAAACTTTAAACATGCTGCAAGTAAGTAAAGCGGGCTTATAATTATGATGCCAATAATAAATTGTATATTGCAGCCGGTGGAAAAGAGTCGGTGGACAGCGCTGGATTGGAAGTTCTTCAGTCTAATTTAAAAATATTGTCGAAATATATTCAAAAGGATTTAAAGGAGCAAATGCAGGAGCTGTGCATAGCGCTACAAGTGGAGAAGGAGAGTGATGAGATTGATTTAAAAAACTGCGTCAATTGCTATATCATCCAACTGTTGCACGTGCTGCACACGTTGAGCATCAACATAAATTTCCACAGTGATGCAAAGGAGGATTTAATTTCGGTGGCTCATCTAAAACTTTGCATACGGACCACGCAGGAGCTCAGCTATTATGCGTTGCGTTCGCAACTGCATGAAGATTTCTATAATTCAGCCGTTTTCAAGGATGTTCAGCGTGTCAGCTGCTATCGCTCTTTGGTTTATCTCAGTGTACAAATGTTCATTCGCCTGCTGACCATTCGTCAGCTGCACATAGCAAATGCCATGGAGCTGGTGCAGCGAGATCTGCTGGCGGCCGTGATTAGTCTGCGCGTAGGTCAGCCCAGTCAGGAACAGCTTCTGCAACTGAATGCGGCACTCGCTTATCTGTGGCAGAGTGAATCCAAAGCGGATTACTTTAGACACGTGCTGTTGCTGAAGGCAACTCCAAATCTGTCTGCTCCATTGGTCAAAGAGCTCCATCATCAACTGTTGAGCAAACTGGGCGCAACGCATGGCTTTGCCAGCCTCTTGGCTGCTCTGCAAACACCGAACGCCACGCAAAGCGCTGAAATCGTGGCTCAGATTGTGGCGCAGCGCGGCTTTTCGTTGCGTCTGCAGCAGCGCCTGATTGAGCAGATCTTCGACTTCTGTGCCATGCAGGCGAATGGCATAATGGCGGGCGTGCTAAGTCTGCGTCGTCTCTACGAACTGAATGTGGAGAATCGTGAGTGCGTGGAGCGTTTACTCAGCAGCCATTGGCTACCTTTGACATCTCCCGTTGACTTACTGAATGGCCTTATCATCTGGGAACAGGCTCAGCTATGCGCGTGTATTCGTCTCTGGGAGCAACTCTTCTGCAGCTCCAGTGTCGCTTGTTTGCCCAGCGTGCTACTGGTGCCCTTTGTGCCGCTTCTCCTGCAGTTATACAAACACCTCCCACAGATGCTAACTGAGCGAAAGGCATTGGCTGCTTTAATATTGCGATGCTTGGATAATAGGGAATCGAAGCAGGAGCTGCCTGCCGTGCTGCAGCGCCTGTACAGCTTGGAACTGAGTGGTCCGCCGCCTTGGCAAGCCTTACATACACGCCTGGCTATCAAGCTATCCTCCCAGTCTGGTCTTGTTACAGTTCAAGTAGAGCAACAACAGGAGGAGGAAAACTATTGTCGAGCCCTGACGGCTCTGCTCAAGGCTGGCAGCGATCACACGTTAACTGCGAAGATTTTTCTGGCTCTGCTTGGGCTAATGCTGCAGCAGCTCCAGGCCAACGAACCCGCAAGCACTGAATTGCTGTCCACCGAAACTGAACTGGCGGATTTCCTGCACTCGAAATATCATCTAAAGCTGGAGCTCCTCGTGGCTCTAGAGCAGCTTGTTTGGCATGAGCCGCTCAAGGCGCAGCTGGCAGCCACTCAGAGTAAAAACTTTATTCAGCTGGTGGCACAATTGATGGCCATCAAAGTGCACCCTTCTGAGATGGCTGAACACATGCAGTTGCTCATATTGTTACTGCTGCAGGAGCTGCTCGAGCGCAGCGAGCAAATGCAAATGCAGCTATCGGAGTTCACTCGCCAACTGCAGCAGCCACTGCAGAAATTGGCTAGTGGAACATCAAATCCTTTGCTGCTAAATGCTCTGCAGCCGCTGCTCGAATTGGTTAACGGGAAGCAGCCGAGCCGGCTGACTTCAACAGCTCCCGCTTCGCTCGCTTCCTTTCAGAAGGCACGTGAGCTCATCGAAAACGAGCAGCCGCATCTGCAGGTCTATGGCATACAATTGATGCTGGAGGCGCTGCGTAACAAGGATCCCACCTTTCTATCCCAATCTCATCGTATCATAGCGTTGGCACTGAGCACACTGAAGCAGAAGGAGTCTTACACATTTCTCAATTGCGTCCGTCTGTTTGTGCAGCTGGTGCACATCATGGAGGCCGAAGTGTTGGACCTGCTCAGCGATGAATATCTATCAGAGACAGCTGATCTCGACTATCGTCTGGTTGTGGGCGAAGCCATACTAAAAGCAGCTCAAGAAATTGGTAAATAATTATCCTTATATATCCTTTATACATTTTTTAGTTTTTTTTTATCAATTTCATTTCATATGCAGGTCCTCTCTGCTATCGTTATAAGGCCGTCCTCATTAATTGCTTTCTGCACGGCGCTCGCTCGCCGCTGGATGAATTTCGCAGCTCCGCCTATGCGAATCTGGCGCAGCTTTGTCGCTTGCTGACCTACCAGGTGCACAGCTTCTTCCAGGAACTGCTGCAGCTAATTGACGCTGAGCTCAGCTCGGGTCGCTATTTGCCTGCCAAGCGTGGCGCCCTGCTGGTGCTTGCCGAGCTATTGTCCGGCATGGACAACCTGTTGAACTACCAGGACATGCTCTTGCCCATCTATCGGCTGCTGCGTGCCATTGAGGCCAACGAAAGCTGTGATTCACAAATGCGCCAACATGCGGCCAATGGCCTCAAAGTCATAAATGAAAAGTGTCGAGAGCTGCTTAAGAGCGAAGCACCTGTGCAGCAGCTGCAGAGAGAGATCAAGGTGCTGGGCATTAAGGAACCCTCAGCGAAAGGCAAGCGGCATATACTGGAGCTGAATTAGAGAGAAGGGGCGGAAAGATAGAAGATATAACATGTGCAGAGCGGATAAAAACAAGAGGATCTGTGGTGTAGCTGTAAGGACACTGTTTAAATAGATCATGGACTAAGCTAAGCTATACGAAATATGCAAATAGTCAATATATCAAACTTTTCATGTAAGAGACCTTAAAAACAAGTAGCTAAGAATTCCAATTGAAAAAGATAATAGAAAAGGAATTCAATGCAATTTCTGTAACTTATATATATTCCATAAAAAAAAGTTTTGTTTACAAAAATTGACATTTATTTGAAATCAATTTCACACATCTCAACAAATTAAAGTGAAAGCTCAATTTGTTATCTGATTAACTTTAAGTTCACTCAAAAGAAATATACAAAATAAGAAAACAAATAAATAAATATTTGAAGCTACATACAAAATTTACAAATTTCAATTAATTAATTTTATTAGCTTAATTAATTAATTAACTTCAAATTCATTTGTAAAAAATATACAAAATAACAGAAGCTAAATAGATATTAAATCCATTTGCGAAATAAAAACAAGAGAATCAACAATGGTAAAACGTTGGCGTGATCGAAAAAGTTGATGCTTTTATAGTGGATAAGAGAGAAATGCACACAATAAGAAATATTAGTTGCAGTCCAATTGGAACTAGTTGGCCTTGCCAATGGCAAACTCCGTTTCGATCTTGTCGGCGATCATCTTGGCAATGGCCAAGCTGCTCGTTGCGCCCGGCGATGGCGCGTTGCGGCAATGGAGCACCCGCTTGGCCAGCGCCCCGCTGCCCTCGCCGCGATCAAAGACAAAATCATCGACCAGATTGCCGCTCAAGTCGAGCGCCTGGGCGCGCACACCTGCCGGCCCACGCTCGATGTCGTATTCGGTGATGTCTGGGATGTATTTCTGCAGCGCCTTCACCTGCAGATTGATGAACGCCGACTTGGCCATCTCGCTGAAGCCGAAGCCTATGTATTTGCTGGCCATCTTGAGGAAGCCTGGATAGCGCAGCGCATCAAAGAGCTCCAACAGATTGATGTCGCCCCAGCTGTACGTATTGAATTGGATAACGAATGGATTCGAATCTAATATGTTGTCTACTCACGTATAGCCTTCCCGCTTCATTGCCAGCACCGCATTGGGTCCCAGCCAGATTTTTCCATCCATGCGCGGCGTGAAGTGGACGCCCAGGAAGGGAAAGCGCGGATCCGGCACTGGATAAATATTACCACGCACCATGTGCTGTTTCTCCTTGGACAGAAGCAGATACTCGCCGCGGAAGGGCACGATGCGTGGCGCTCGCGGACAGCCCGTTAGCTCGGCTAGGAGATCGGACTGCAGGCCGCCGCAGGTGAGAACATTCTTGGTGCGCACCTGCCGGCCATCCTTGCCACTGTGTATGGTGACGGGATAGTCGGAGCCTTCTTTGGTTTCGGTGAACTTGGTCACATTGAAGTTCAAGTAGATGTCGCCGCCTGCCCTCTTGAAGTCCTCGCCGTAATGCTGGGTGACCAGGCCCCAGTCCACGATGCCCGTGTGGGGACTGTGCAGCGCCTTGAGGCCCTGGCAATACGGTTCGATCTCCTTGATTTGAGCGCCGTCGATCATGCGCAGATCCCGCACCTGGTTCTTGATGCCGCGATCATGCAGATCCTCCAGCAGCTTCACCTCCTTCTCGTCCGTTGCCACAATCAGCTTGCCGCACTTCTTGTACGGTATCTGATGCTCGTCCAGATACTTGTAGGCCAGGTTAAGGCCCTCCACGCACAGGCGAGCCTTCAGTGTGCCCGGCTTGTAGTAGATGCCCGCGTGGATGACGCCCGAGTTGTGGCCGCTCTGATGCATCGCCAGCTTGGGCTCCTTCTCCAAAATGGCCAACTTGAGTGTCGGATGACGCAGCAGGATCTCTCGTGCCGAAGCCGCGCCTACTATGCCCCCGCCCACTACTACAAGATCGTATTCACTGGAAGGAAACGGAAGATATAAACAAATACGTCTTATTGGAACGGGTAAATCTAGTATGTTTAATTGGAATGGCGACTAGTACTTCTAATATATGGCTAATTAGAGCCCTAGGTAAGTAAAGGGAAATGTTACATGGCATATCCTTCAAAGGGATATTTAGCAGACAGATAAATAGTGAGAAATTTCAAATTCAAAATCTCTAATAAATGCTTGAAAATCTATCTTATGAATTATTATTATATTTACATATATGTA